GGGCATACCGTACTTGAATTCTTCAAGGGAGAGGAGGCAGGGAAGTAAAAGCTTTGTCTATCAGTGGACACTTTTAGAAATGGAAGTGAAAGATGCATCACAAATAGTTTTCAAAGAATATCAAAAGGACAGGCAGAGAGAAAAGGATGTAGAAGCACTTTGAAAGTGCTTTCTCCAGCAACAATCATTGAATCTGCCAACAGAGCGAGTTTATGACTTAATGCTGGATGATTATTATGGCTGTGCTTACTACTAAATGGTTAATAAACTCCTAAAAATAAAATATTTTCTGATTTCAGTCCTGAACTGAAAAAGTTTCCATGTTTTTTTCCCTTGCAAGATCTGTTTTCATTGTAAAAAATCTAGAATACTTTCTTAACAGAAAAAAGTTATATGATTGTGACCTTTCACTTTCAAAGCAAAAAAGCCAGTGAGAAAGGAAGGAAGGAAGGGAGGGTGGGAAGAAAGACTCCCTGACTGGAAGAAGTTTATTATTCAGGTCCTTTCATATTGGTGGTAAGAAGACTCAATTTCATAAAAATGTAAATTCTCCTTATTTGAACTTAAAAATTCAATGAAATTCCAAGGCCCAGCAAATTTTGTTTAGATACTTTATAATCTGATTTTGAAATGTCTATGACTGAGTAAAGGTCCAAGATTAGCAAAGCCATTTCTGAAGAATATGACAGGAGGAACTGTTCTACCAGATTTCAAGACATATATAAAACAGTGCTCACTAAACAGTACTGTATTGGTGCAGAACAGAAAAAGAATGAAGAGCCAGAAACAAACCCATGAATTCAAACCCATGAGTGCATGGAAATGTGACACGGAAGATATCACAGATCACTAAAGAAAAGAGAGCCTATTTAATAAATGATGTGGGTATTGATAGAATCTGGACCTGAGTACCACCTTTGAAATAAGCCCCACCCACCATCTCAGAGACACGTAGGTGTCATCTTACCTAGGCTACAAGCATCCTCTAGAGGGCACGTCAGCAGGCCACACGCCCACCTTTCCCCAGCTTTCCCCGGATGCCTCTCCTCAAAGAGCCTGACAAAAACCTGGCCATAAAAAGCCTCTTGACCTGTGAGAGACCTTTTCCTTTGTTCTGCTGGCCAGGACAGAGGGTTCCCTCTCGGTTTAACAGTAAACCTGCTTGGACTGTTGAGTTCGCATCTCTTTCAGGTATAATTGATTATCCATATGGAAAAATAAAAAATTAGATACCTACCTCACACTACACCTCCAGATCAATTCTAGATTGATTTAGATTTAACGATGAAAGAAGAAAGAACTTTAAAAGAAAATACAAAATATCTTTATGAGCTACACATAAGGACTTCTTAACACACAAAAAGAACTGGAGATTTTCTGCCCACTAGATTGGCAAAAATTAAGAAGTGTGAACATAACAGGTGTTGGAAAGGATATGGATCCAAGGGACTCATACAGACACTGCTAGAGGAAGGATAAGTTGGAATAATTGGAACCACTTTAGAAAACAGTTTGGTGTTATCCTGGGAAGTTGAATATCTGTATACTTGTGTAGGACGCAGCAGCTCCACCTTGGATATATACTCTAGAACAATGCCTCTCTGACTTTAAGGAGCATCAGTCACCCGGAAAGACACACAGTTTGGGGGCCCCACCCCTGAAGATTGTTATTCAGTAGGTCTAGGGTAGAGTCCATGAATTTGCACTTCTAAGAAGCACCCAGATATTCAGGCTGCTGCTGGTTTCCAATCACAGTTGGAGTAACACTTCTCTGGATTTCTTCACCTGTGTCTTGAGAAACAAGGAACAAGAATGTTCAAAGCCACATTGTTCATAATAGCAAAAATCTGGATACAACCCAAATATCTATCATCAGAAGAATGAATAAACTGTAGGATGTTCACATAATGAAGTCTCATATGATATTAAAAATGAACTGTAAGTATGTGTAAGAGTCTGAATGGATCTTAGAAGCATAATGTTAATTAAGAAAAGTAAGTCACAGAAAATTGTATATAGCATGATACCACTTTTATAAAGCTAACAAACAATATATTGCTTAGGAGCAAATATATGGACAAAACTAAAATATGAAGCAAGGGAATGAAATACAAAAGTGGGGAAGAGAAGAGTCACATAACTAGATGCAACCCTGTGCATGTCACAGTGGCATTTGAGGTGGGTGGCAGGTTCTCATGCTTCAGCACTGTCACGTGAGTTACATAGAGTCTCCTGTATATGGAAAATAGAGACATAATACACATGAAATGAAAAAAAAATGAGTGCCAATCAGGTAAGCTAAAAGAGACAAAAACTGCAAAGAAACTAAAATTATAATAACAACTAAAATACTCATTGGACTTAGTAAATGACAGAAATGATCCTGAAGAAAAAAGATATGCAATGTAGAAGACAAACTTCAGACATCCTTAAAGAAAGAAAATAAAAAGACTAAAAAACAATGAGAAAGAAGATGATAAATGCACAGAACTGAAGATGAAGATCTAACAGACTCCCACAATGGAGATTGGAACAAACAGAAAGAAAGAATTCAAAGCTATATTTTAAAAAATGCTTATAGGTTGAAGAAAGGTCTTAGTCTTTCTCATCAAAAGTACTTCCCAAATACCAGTAAATTAATGCAGAAACCTACATGGACATATTCCTAGTAAAAGTTCAAATATCCAGGCTAAATCATGACTCCTATAGCATCCTGGCAGAACAAAATATAAAGAAAACAAACAGGCTAACCAAACATAGAATGAAATGCATGCTAGCTTCAAACTTCTCTGCCACAACAAACACTGCAAAAACATGATTTCAAAGTTTATTTGGAAAAATAAATGGCTATGACTAATTAAGGAAAAGTTTGAACAAAGAAAAAAAAGTCTAATGAAATGAATTTGGATCTTTAGATATGAAAATATAAATTATAATAATGAAAATGATATGAAACTGATAAAAAATGGAGAGTTCAGTGGAAAAGAATAGAAAATCCAGATACAGAATTATTTATAATATTTCTTATGAGTATATCATGATATACATGTCATAAAATAGTATATATGACAGGTATATATTTACATATATGTATTATAGTATATGATATACATATTTTATAACATATTACATGTTATAAAATAGTGTAATGTGATAGTATATATTACATATGCTACATTATAATATATGACATATTTTTATATATTTGCATATAGATAAAACTTAGTATGTGATAAAGATGAGCTTAGGCATAAGCCATTCACTATATGATGCTATAGCAGCTAGTAAATTATTAAAAAAATAATGAAGTTAGTACCATACACCAAAATACTGTCAATGAATTAAAACGTAAAAATTTTAAATGGTAATATGAAAAGAGCTAGAAAAAAATAACAGTGAAGATTGGCCTGATCCTTGTATGAGGAAGGACTTTCTAAGAACTAAGAACAAGAAAGAAATTTTTTTAAAAAAAGATTGGAATATGTTCCTATACAAATTTTGTTAATTCTCTATGGCAAAAAAATCTTAAAAAGTGATAAAAAGCAAACTATAAATTTGGACAGAACATTTACTCTTTATACATTCCAGGGGATTCTGACCCTAATATCAAAAGATATGTTACAAATCAATAAGAAGAAGGTGGGTATCCCATTAGAAATATGGGTGACTGTAATAATCACTTCACAAAGATGATTTCAAATCAAAAACACAGAAGTTATAGTCAATAAGAGCAAATTGAACCAATGAGGGTTTTTCCATCTATTTGATTGATAATGATGAAATATTTGCCATTTTCAATATTAAGAAGCCATATTTAACAACTATCCAATGCTACTTAAAATTAATTGAGGTAAATGTTTAAGCAACTCTTCAAGCCCACAATTGAGGGCAGATTTTGAGCTATTCCCGTGACAGAGGGCTTTTTAACTGTTCTGATTTGTGCAATTCACCAGACATTTTTAAGCTGCTGATGTTACAAATGACCACACAAGAAGAGCTGTACACGTTGTGCATTTTATTGTATGTGCCTCCATTCAAAAAAACAAAAGATCATTAAGAGGCTTCTGCCTGGGAAGGTGAAGACTGAGAAGACATCGTTGATGTCTTTAAGGCCCTGAATAGCATGCATATACTGACTAGTATATTCACTGAATTCCAGAACTGGGGTCGGGGCGGGGGAGTTGGGCGGGGGGGTTGGGCGGGGGGAAGCCTAAACAAATTAGGAAGCTCTGTTTTACACGGTGAGTTACAAACTCTAAACTCATTACCCCACAATAGGATATAAGACCAAATACAAAACAGGTAAGGCCAAAATGGGATAATTAGCAAATGCAGTAGAAATTAAACTGGCAGTGAATAGGCATTTGTAAATTCAAATACATGTGTGGGTTACAGATTGAATATTAATCAGTTACATCCTTTCAGTTTAGAATTATTGACGATGCCCAAGAATTAGTACCATGGTTTGCAAACATTCTTCTGTTTATATTTGATTCTGGAATTCAGGACTGCGGTCTCCTGTCTGGAGGAGCCTCATCTCCCTCCTACCACACTAACAGTACTTAGTGACAGTATTTGGAATATGACATTTTGGATTGTAATATTGGTCACAGTCCTAAAGATTGGAAATCCTCCATTCTGCAATTAAACAGGAGTCATACATAACCAGTATGAAAGTGAAGTCACAGGAAAAGAAAGTTAAAAATTTAAGGCCCCAGCTGGTTAATTCATATGTGAAAAGCTTGATTCACTTGTTTGTATGCTGCTCTGGGTCTGCCCTACTGATCTTTCCCTATTTGATCAGTTGAAAAGTGCCCACTTCATTATCCACCCAGGATGGTGCTTCACTGGAGTGACCATGTGCACAGGGTTAGGGCCTCATTATTGGGATTCACTGTATTCCTGGTAAGAAGTGGCCTCTGGCCTGTGTGTTTGTGCAGTTACTCAGAACACCTGAATATGCCTCTTTCTCTGTCTCTCTGCTTCTTTGTTCTTCTCAGGACTACTGGCTCTCTCTCCTTTACAAGCGCCTGATCGGCCCCAAAGTCTTGGCTGTGCACGTGGCTGGACTGCAACGGAAACCACGGCCAGGCCGAGTGATCCGGGACAAACTAAGGATTTACGCTCACTGCACAAACCGCCACAAGTAAGTCTTCAGAGAGATGTCCTAAAAAACCAAGCCCAGGAGTATTCAGGTTTCCTGGCCCTCTTAGAATTCCGTACTATTTGGAACCCCTTTAAGACTTACTGAAAACTGCTTCTGGAATTACCAAGTCTGCTCTTTGCATGTTTTAAATGATCTCTGATAAGAACTTTTTCTCCAAGGAAACCCCCTTTCTCATACTTAGAAAATGTATTCATAAAAATACATAGCATTTTTTTTCATTTGCTTCATCCAACAAATTTTTACTGAGCATTTTCTTGGTGCCAGTTGATGTAATGACCATGCAGCTTTGCTGTGGGCCTACACCGGAACAAAGGCTGGAGATACAAAATCCATTCCTGTGACCCACCAGCAGGGCTTGAGGAACTAAGTCTGTCTCTAAGGTGCATGCTGAGAGCTCTGCCACCGGAAACCTCCCCAGAGGCCAGCGTGTCCCCAGCTGTGAGCTCCCAAAAGTAGTCATGCTAGCTTTAGAGCCATTTTCAGTATTTGAAAAATCTTTTCAGCTATTTTAACACTTAAAGGTTAAATAAAATCTAGGCTTTCTTTTTTTAGGGGGCTAGACTTAGAATAATCAACATGGAAATGTATGGTTATCCTTCTCTTTTTGACCTGAAGCTCTGGTTGTCACTGGAGTTGTCATTGAACAAACAGGAAAAATAATTATCAGTAAGTAAGTAAAGCTTGGCAGATAAAATATTTTAAAACATGAAGATCAAAGGGTAAAAACTTAAAATTGAGTCTAAAACAAAAGCCGACCAAATATGGCTTTCTTACATCATTTCCTGTTGAAGGAGCAGAGTAGGTGGCTCTGGAGAAGAGAATTCCTTCTCTTAATTCAGAGAAGCCCTGCGGGGTGGGGAGTGGGGAAGGAAGCAAGTGCCTCCAGCCAGACCTTCATTCCGGTGGGCCTATCAGGGGCTAATCACAGGCAGTGGGGAGCACAAAGAGCTCCAGTGGTCAGGTTACAATAGGCTCCTTCCCCTTCCTTGATGAGAGAGGAGCCAAGCCAGTTAATTTATCATGATAAGAGTTTTCAAAGAATCACTCTGAGCATAGGAGGGCCAGAGGCCAGTTGTCTTGTCTGTAGATACAAGTGCCTATTGTGGAGGAGAGGAGGCTGGTTTGGGCAGAGGCCAGAGGCTTTCAACGTCCCTTTTGCTCAACAGGAAGCTCAAACCAATACCTGACAGAGAGTGACTGCTTTGTGGCCTTGGCTGGAGTTATCTGATCACCGCACAAGGAAATATTGTATTCCTTGTCTCCACCCTGGTCCTGAGATAACCACCCAAAAAGGTGGACCCCCAACTTCAAGAGAGAAAAATTACTCTTGGCACCTTTTGTCTCTGTGGGGAAGCACATCAGTTTGTGGCCTTTATACTACTAGTCTGAGGACCCAGGGAAAAAATGTCTTTAGCCATGGGCTTAGCAGGCCTTGGATGTCCTCACAGAGGGCTCCTCATAGTCTCACCCCAGAGTTCATCCTGACATTCTTTGACATTCTTATGGAAAGTTGTCACTCATATTCTGAGCATACCGTGAACTCAGGGCCAGTGTCTCATTTCTTTTTGTATTCTTGGTGTCGACATAGTGACTGGCTTAAGGAGGGCTCAGTGACTGATGAATGAATGCAGAAACAGAGCATCAGGGCACCACTGATGCTTTGCAGTTCTGTCTTCCCCTTTCATATCACATCAGCCAGAAGGAGGTGGTGTGGAAGAGTGGTTCAGAATTCTGTCCTTCACTAGCATGAGACCTCAAACAAGTTATGTCCCAGAGTGGGGCACACTGGCTTTACACTGTTCAATCTTGACCAATACTCTGAAAATATACATCCTTGGTCAAAATGGGGATTGGGTGAGAAAGTATACACTCACCAGTAGAACAACCCAAAGAAACTGTCTATTAAAACAACCCCTGCACTCTGGTGTATAGTGAGCACTTGCTATGAGCCAAGTATCTTGTCAGATATTTACATTTCTCTTATCATATTGAATTCCAAAGGTTCTATGTTATCACCCCTATTTACAAATAACAACATTAATACTGTAAAAGATTTTACATTTGGAAAGAACCATCAGAGATCTTTTGGCCTAGTGTCTTACACAACACAGAAATTCCTTTTACAGTCTCCCTGACAGTCATGCAGCCTCTGCTTGGATGCCTCATCGCCTCTCACAGCAGTCTTTCACATTGTGGGTTGTTTCTGACTGTTGGAGCTTTGCCTTTTATGACTGAGTTAGGATAAAAAGTTAGATACTCATACCAACACCAGCAGGTGCTTTTCTGCTTTCTGTTCTAGAATTAACAAATTAGGTCCCTGGCATCGTGGCAGTTCTCACCCTGGGTCTTCTTGTTCAGAGAACAAGTAAGTTTGGGTTGGGAAACCTTCTTCTTTATGAACTATTCTGCTGAGACAATGTATGTTTCGGGGGAAAAGCCGAGGTCTTAAGCCAAGTTCAGAACCAGTTGGAACCTGGTGGATATTGAAGCAAAATTGAGCCTTTTGGGGTTCAAGTTCATTTATTATTGGAAAAACATGACTTCCTGTTTTTCAGAAGAAGTTTTTTTAAAGACTCATAAAAAAAGGTTCCTGAGGCTTCTTGGACATCAAATGGCTCTTACAAAACAATATTTTGATGAGTTAAGTGTAAATGAATCAGAAACATGTGGATTAAATTTCCCTTAAAATACACAGGGGCTTTGAAATTAGGGGAAAAAATGTTTGGCAAAACATGGCCTGACTTTTGCCGAACCCAAGAACTTTGAATTAGATTTGAAGACAATGGACCAACCCAGTTTTCAAATATTGACTTGCACTGAGAATGACCATGGGTTCCAAAGTATTGTCTTCCCTTCCCTTTCCTAGTCCTCCATCTTCGCTGGGGACATTTCTAGAACAGTGACTGTTTTTATCTGGAAGTCAAGATGCACCTCCCACTTCTTACACCCGGGATCTTCCAGTTCCTTCCTTGCCCCACTCTCCTCCTGTGGCAGCACAGAGAAGAAGTCAGGGAGCAAAAGAACAGCCAGAAAGATGGGCTCCAGATACGTGGACTCTCTGCTGGTGGAAAAGTCTCACCATCAGTGAGACATGGAGCAGAAGGTATTCTACCAGACAGAGAGGGGCATTCATTAAGAGAACCACAAGCCACCTGGACTTGACAGCATCAGAAGGGCAGCAACCATCTGCAGTCCACACCTTCAGTCAGGCCCCATTTTCTTAGGGAACAGAGACTCCTACGAGATTATTTTTCCGTGGGCAGAGAATATTCATTCTTCAGGAATCTCCTTCTTCAGCTCTGTACTTTCAGGTTAGTGCTGCACTCCCCATCCAAGAATGTGTCTTTGCAGCCAGAAGTCCTCTGTTTAACATCCTTGCCCATCAGCCAAGCAGGGAAAGGGACGGCTCAGGCAGTCTCAGTGCCAGTTCCTGCCTGAGGAGGTTCCCTGAGTCCAGCAGGAGCCCCAGCACAGTTGGCCTCAGGGCTGCCTTCCACTACTGGTTTGTCTCCCCCAGGCGAGCGATGCAAGTGGAAATCAGACCATTGCCAAGCAGCGTAAGAAGACTGCTTTCCCTGCAGTAATTTCAGGTCTCCCTCCCACCCACCATTTCCCCACATCTCACCATTCTCCACAGTCTCCAAGGGCTCATTCTGCCCCGCTCTGCAGAGGAGAAACTCAGAAAGGCATGTGGCTGTCTTCTCCACTGTTGGCCTTCAAGAAGGGTACTTGAGGGTAGTTAGCAAAAGGGTTTACCACAGTCCAGCAAAATTGGTATACACACATGCATACTTTTGCTCACACTCTGAAGCCCAAGCTACCTCTAGTTAATAGTTTCCTCAATTCTGCACAGAGCTCAGCTAAGCTTAAAGCCCACCAATGGGCTACAGTCAGCATTCTTTAAGGATTGCAAACACTGACTCAGCAGCATCTTTCTTCAGAGTTCTGGGGACACAGTCTGCTCAGATAAACTGGCATTCTCTTCTAACCTAACTCACTGGGTTCCAAAAGCTAGCTTCAGGGAATTGAGAAGGATGAGGACAAGGAACCAGATGAAAGAGTCATTTAATAATTTATCAGAGTATCAATTCAGGCATCCAAAGCCACTGAATATAATAATGTATCCTCCTACAAATGCAAAAAGATCATCTGACACACAGCCAGCAAGACATTACCTTGGGAAGGCATCTCATAACCTAATGTATTGCTCTAGGTAGTGGTTCCCAAACCCAACGCATATACCAAATATCCCAGAGAGATTAAAAGAGAAAAAGAAAAAAAAAGCAGATTCCCAGGCCCAACTCACAAATAAATTGAATCAAAATCTCCATGGATGAACCCTGGAACTATAATTTTTTTAAAAACCCAAGTTATCATATTGACCTGCCCTTGGTTACCCAACTCTTAATTAGCACCTTTAGAAGCAGAGATGAGTGACCCACAGGGGCTGTGGGGTGCTGTTTCTGCAAGGAATGGTATTTTCCTCCGGGCAAAGCTGACTTCGAGTTTCTCTGAACTCCTCTTTTGAAGGCAGGACTGGGTCATTTTTTCTGTTTCCTCTCATTAACCCATCCAGATGGGGTCCTAAGGGAACCCTTAGAAACAAAGTCTTTTTTTCCTACAAGAGAGAAGGAAATCATTACAGTTTTGTTGATATGTGCTGAAAGGCTCTTGCATGTAGGCATATAGTTCTGAACATCCTGTGCTGTTTTAAAAGGATTACAAAATGGTGAATAGTTTTATAATCTTGGGGTAGGTAAAAGGCCAAAAGCAGAAATCAAAAAGTTCAATAAATTTGACTACATTAAAGTTTTAACTTTAATACATCCAAGTACAAGATAAACAAACTGAATTGATCAAAGAAAACTGGGAGAAATTTTGCAACATACATGAAGATAAATTATCACTATCTTTAATAAATAAATAGTTTTTATAAATCAATAGAAAGGCAAAGGACATGGTCAACTTACAAAAGAAGAAATGAAACAAACAAGCAAATGAAAAAAATGATGCACCTAGTATGAGTTTTATAAAAATACGAATTAATACAACACTGAAATCCCATTAACACTCTCAGGTTAAGAAAGATATTTTAAAAGGTGAAATCCAGTGTTCTTACCAGAATGAGGAAATGGGTACTCTTAAAAATAGCTGCTCAGCGCAAATTGGCATAAGCTTTCTAGAGTTAATATCAAAATTATCAAAATGTGTGTATCAGTCAGGATAGGCAAGGTTATGCTATGATAAGGGACCTCCAAATCTCCATGACTTTCAATAAGAAAATATATTTCTCATTTAGGCTGCGTGTCTGTCAGGGCTCAGCTGTAGCTCTGCTCTATATCATCTTCATTCCAGGATGCAGATCAATAGAGCAGCCTCTGTCGTCTGGCAGAGGGAGAACAGAAGTAGTAAAACAGAGGCTCTCTCTTAAAGGTTCTGCCCAGAGGTTTTAACATGTCCAGCCATTGGTTGAAGCCAATCATGTGATCACTTGAGTGTTTAATAGAACAGGGACATAAAATCTTCCTACAGGGAAGGGCACCACTGGGAATGAACCAGAAGATTTGGTGAGGAATCATACAATGTATATTATGCCCCTTGACTTAATGTTTCCAACTTCCAGGACTTTATGCATCAGAAATAATCATTATGTACAAAAGGTTTATGTACAGTGAAATCCTTCATCATATAATTTATATGGCAAACATTGAAAACCCCCAAAAGTAGGAGGTTAGTTAAACAAACTTCCTATTATTGAAGACTATAGCCTTCTTATATAAGTAGAAAAATGTATCATAATAACATGGGAATATATTTAAGATGTTCATGAACTGAAAAATTTGTGTGAATAATGTGATCCCAATTACATAAAAACTGAGAAATATATATGTGTGTATCAAAGTACTCAGTAATATTTCTCAAATGAATAAACTAAAAAATACTGGAAGGATCTTACCCAAAATGTTATCATACCTCAAGATACTTAAATTGTGGAGGGATTTTCTTTTTCTTCTTTGTGTTTCTCTATATTTTTCCTTTTTTTGAAATCACTATGTTTTAATTCCGCACTCAGAAAAAGATACTTTGTTTTCTAAAATCATCACAATATATTTAAACAAAAACAAAAAGCGCATGGTGGGAAGTGGGTATCTTCTTTGCAGGAAACCACAATAACAAGGCCTTCCTGTCTTCCAAGATCTAGTGTGGCCAAGAACTATAAAATAAATGCCTTTTCCTGAGGTAGTCCTGTTTCATGCTGTCTATAAATTACTTAGAAGTATCTAACTGACCACTTTGTTTCCATCTTTTCCTACTTTCTCTCTCTCCTGATCTCAGCCACAACTATGTTCGAGGATCCATTACACTTTTTATCATCAACCTGCACAGATCAAGAAAGAAAATCAAACTGGCAGGGACGCTCAGGGACAAGCTTGTACACCAGTATCTGCTACAGCCTCATGGACAGGAGGGCCTTCAGTCCAAGTAAGTGCCACCCTGGAAATAGGAGCGAGTGCAACAGGAGCTGCTTGGGGAGGGGGCTGGAGTAGCTCCTTTGCGGAGAGCACCGGGTTGTTATTAAGTCACTCAGGGGCTCAGTGGGATGGAGTCAGGAGACTGCTGACTCCCTTTGAGACTTTGGTCAAGCCCCTCCCTGTCTCTAGGCCTAGATACCTCACCTGTAAAGTCAAATAGTGGACAAAATATTTCTCAGCAAGGGCACTCTGGCTATCTGGGCAAGACAGTTCTTCATTATGCAGAATGGTCACATTTCAAGCTGTTTTGCATCCTTGGTCCCTGTCCACTAAGTGCCAATACCACCCCCTAGTCCCGTAACAACCCAAAACACTAGCACTGAGAACTGTGTCCCTTTCAGCTGTAAAATGTAACTGTATAACATATTCCTCAATGCTGTAACTCACTGTTTTGTCATCATCTACAAACCTTCTGGGGCTAGAAGGGAACACTGGACAAAGGATCCCAAGTTCAGAGAGAAGGAGTCAGATCTGCCCCTAACTCTGTAACTGTAGGTGTATCACCTCTCAGGATCTCAGTTTCCTTATCTGAACATTAAGAGACAAATTACATTCTGGGAGCTTTGTGGCCTCTGCAAACCCTATAAATATATGACTCTGAGATATTCTCTGCCTCCCTCAGTCTCTAGGAGAGACTGTTGGCAGCACTGCCCTTAACCACCAGAAAGCAGCAATGGGCTTGGCCACGGGCAAGGCCACCCCAGCTCCCTGAATAAGGCCTCCCAGGAAGGACATGGGATGCTGTGCAGACTGGGTGCGTTCCCATTCCATTTTTAATGTTTACCAAGTTTAACAAAGCTGTAAACTTGGAGCAGGTGGTTTGCACTCCCACAGCCACCCACAACTATTTGCGCTGATTGCCTGCCGTTTCACTGCGGCCGTGGTGGCTGGCGCTTGGCTTCCAACTGTCTGTGCGACGGGAACAAAACACAGTCTGGGGAACCACTTACTGAGGCTCTGTAGCCCACCCTAAATCTGTAATTTTCAGTCTTGGTTCACATACTGACTCTTTTTTCTGGCTTCATGTCCACTGTGTCTACTTTTCTTTCCTCTCAATCCTACCTGTATTAGGAGAACTCTGTTGAGCAGTTGATCCTCTCTCTCTGCTTCCTGGTAGTTCATGATCAGCTGAATTCCTGGTCTACATCCTAGACAGGGTGCCCAGGTCTGGTCCCAGCTTTGCTAAATAATCATTTGACCTGGACAAATCCTTAAGTCCTTACCCTTAGCCCTCATTTTCCTCATCTACAAAATTCGAGGGCTGTTGTACATTTGGTAAGATGCCCTCCAGCTCTCCAGTTCTCATCCTGAGTCTGTTTGTCTAAGGATTGCAAGTATGCTGGTCACCCACTGCCATCCAATAGTGACCTGCCAACTCTGGCAGAGGGGCTCACTCCTCAGCAGCAGTTGTGATAGTTGAGGGTTCTCTGGAGCCAAAGAGGTTAGGAGCTGAGCCTGCCCAGTATCAGGAAGATCACATGTACTACGTGGAGGGAACTGACCAACCGCCTTAGTCTAACAGGCTGAGCTCTCAATCCCTGCCCTGGCTGTGCATCTGAGGCAAGGTACACAATCTCTGTGAGTCTCAGTTTTCTCATCTGCACAACCTCCCATGTGGAGAGGAGTACGTGAGGTTATCTATGTAAAGTTCCTGACACATAGTAAATGCTCAGTACATGTCCGTTGCCTTGCTATTCCTCAGCTCAGGACTCTAGCTGCCTGGCGAAGAAGATGAGAACAACTGCTCTAAGATTTCTTCAAACGTGGGGTCTTCTGAGATTTTTAGGATAATGTGTGGATAAGGATTTGTTAAGATTATGATAAAAAGACGGGATAAAAATTGCATAAATGCAAAGCCATGAAACGTGAGGCGATGGTAGTTAGAGGGTGGCATCATTTTATGAGCTTGTTTCCCCACCAACCAAGGGCACTTCAACCCCGTTTACTCCATTTTTATCCCTCCTCTAGGATTTCTCCTCTGATGTTTGACCCAGGCCACACCTCGGCTCCTGTCCTGCCTATACCTGTCCTTAAGTGTGGCTCAAGTGACTCTCACTGGCTACCAATATGTTGTATGTTGCAGTTATGCTGTCTTGTGCCTCACCTTGTCACCACACTGCTGAGGAGGTGTGCTGTGGCTTTGTTGAGCATATCGGAGGGGAACAGAGTAAAAGAGAGTTCCATTCCACAGGGGGCCTGAAGAGGGATTTGGTAGTACCTACTGAGATCAAGTAACAATGTCGCTTAACTGGAAGAAGAGGCAGCTAGAGTCAGAGGGCCTGGATATGGATCCAGTTGCCTCCATTTATCTATGTAATCAAACCTCAGCTCCCTTACCCGTCAGATGGGGTTATTGTGAGAATCAAACGAGAGCACATGGGTGACACGAAACCTTCTACAAATGAACAATTCACACACCTATGCATACACATACGTATATGAATATAAATACAGACTAACATGTCTGATTTTACACACCCTGAATTAAAAGGCGTTTGGATGGAAGTCAAGAGAACTGGATTTCAGCCCTAATCGTGCGCCTACCTCCCTGTGGAGCTTTGGGCCCTTCTCTCATTTCTCTAAACCTGCTCCTCTCCTATAAACTGCTAGGGTAACACCTCTCCCGCTCTAGACCTTGGTGGCTCTGCCCTGTGCTATGCCATCTGGGATGTAAGCAGCTAGGCAGGGACTGTCATGTGCATGTTCAGTGCCCCATCCAGTGCTCTGCTGAATAATTACTAACAAGATCAAGGGCCCTCAGTGGTTCTGGGATGGGGGACTCACAGGAAGGGGGTGGTTTCTGTGCGGCAGACTCCACAGGAAAGGATGAAAGGAAATGCTAGGAAGTGATTTCAGCCTTTGGTGTCTCCTTCACTCTTTTATAAGCCCCCGGGGCTAGATTCTGTGTTCTGTGTCTGCTGAGCCCTTGCTGGAGCCATGTTAGCTCAGAAAGGGGTGGAAAGCTCTGGGAGCCGGGGAACCTGTGATTGCTCTTGTCTGGAGGAACCAGGATGAGGATGTAGAGCAAGTCAATATGCCATTTAAGCCACCAGTTGGATGTTTGGCCTGGGCTTTCAGGAGTAGGGAGATGCTGGCAAAGTCCTTAGATTTTGTTGAGAACATGGGGTAATTCTCATTCTCTTAGAGTTGCCGTCAGGGCTGGAAATACTTGAAATCTCCCAAAGGGTTACTTCTATGCGAACTCAAGGCTCAGGTGTGTCAGGAGGCACCTTGGGGCCACTAATAGGGCATTGCCTAGGCCACCACATCCACAAATGAAGGGTCCTGTTTCTCATCCCACTGAGTGAACCAATCATAAAACTCACCACTTAAGTCTTGACTCTTTATGTAACCGAGAGTTCTCATTCTAGGAACCAGGCATAGGTGGGTGCCCTCTACCCTATAGGGTAGAAGAAGGAAAACGTAGAAAACTGTAGTGTGCACAAGAGAAGGGTATTCTGTGTCTGGAATTCATACTTTTTAAGGATGGCTAAGGAAATGGGGAGATTTAATTCACAGAAGAAAAATAAGGTGAGTCATGGGGACTTTCTTTAAATATTCAAAGGAGTGCTAAGTGAAAGAAAATGGATTTGGCCTAGAATCTTCTCAAATGACAGAAAACCAGGGAGTGCAGTTTTAAAGAGAAAGATTTCACCACAAAACAAGCTCATTTTCCAAAGGCTTGCTGGTCTGACCAGGGATGGAACAGGCTTTCTCAGGAGGCAGCCTATTAGTCAGAGGAAGCAGCCATCTCAGAGGTGCCCTTATACCTCACTCAGGGGGAAGCTGAGATAAGGGGTTACCACGTGAGATAAGGGGTTACCACGTCCCATCAGACCCTAAAATCCTGTTTTTCTCTTCTCCCTCCTCCCACTCCCACTTCACTTTGCGGGCTTGCTGTCTCTGTGGTCACCAGCAAAGTAGCTCCTTCAAGCCACTAAAAGGCCACACAAAAAGGGAGTGGTGGTAATATCAGGCTTGTTTTTCTCCAAAAAGTCTCCATCTGCAAGTCCTTCCCCTGCCCTACTCCCTGGTCGCTCACCTTCCTGGGAAGAAGACCATAATAGTAGTCCCTCCTGGATAAATCAAAGCACACCTTTGGTGCAGCTTTCCCCGCTACAAGGGAGAAAATCTGCCCAATGCCTCATGTGATCACAAATCAATAAACACTCTCCTCTAGGGAATCAGTTCTACCCAAGACCTAAGTTTCTCCAGTGTCTTTCAACAAACAGAGAAGCAACATGAAGTTGGGCCAAGTAAGTAAACTTACACCAAAAGACACGACTCACCTTTTTAGGGAAAAGTCAAACTAAGAGCAGGTGTTTGGTCAGATCCCAGTGGCCTTCCCTATGTATCTTGTTCAATTCCATTTGGAAGGAAAACTATCCAAAAACTAGAAATGAAGGAAACAACTTTCATCACAGTGGCTGCTCTATTCTGACACACTAACCTGGGGGAATCAGCAGATGCTAAGAATCCTGGGATGAAATGATATTTTGAGGTGATCTGGTTCATTCTCCTGCCCTCAGATAGTCTCTGGCTAAGCCATCTGGACCAGAAGATGCTCTGTGTTTTAAGACCTTTGGGGATGGAGTGGCCATAATTTCTATCCTATCTGAGCAGTTAATTCTATAAGAACATTGGGGCCCTCTGTGCTTATGGCTGACACTTTATATATAATAAAGAGCCTTAATAACCATTATCTCATTTAACCTTCTGAACAGCACCAAGAAGCAAGTGGAACAAGTCCTGCCTCCCTCCCCTTTTAGGGTTGAAGAAACTGAGCCTTAGACCATTTAGTGACTTATTCAAGAGTCACACAGCTATGAAGTGACAGAGCTGGGAAGTATCTAGCATCCAGTTCTCCTGGCCCCAAATCTAGTGCACTTTCTTCAACACTGTGCTACTCCAACAGTCTAGTGAGATGAAATGATGACATATTGACAGATA